GCTCCATGCTAGGGGCAGTAGTAGTGGAGGCCCGCTGTACATTCATTTAGTATGGCCCTTTCTTCTGCTGCCAGGATGATCTCTAACCCTCAGTCTAACTTTTTAACTAATGCTGGGTCTCTGCTCTGGGTGAGTGGAGAGAGTGGGACTCTGAAGCATTCCAGGGCGATGTCCCTACGAGCTTAATTTGAGTCATTTCTATTCAATGCAGGTTGAGCTGCTGGGCAATAATACAAGGTACGTGCTACCTGATTTAATGTATTGGATAGTAGTAATGTTTTGTGTAACCCACTGGTGAGTGTATGCTACATATCTTCTCATAGCTCTGGCTTTAATAGCTCCTGTCTTTATCTTTTGAGGTGCCCAGTTGGATCCCTGTTGTGTTGGCCAAGATGGTGGCTGTCACATTTACACCGTCACAGCTTGTGAAGGTTGCATTTTTGATGTTCATGCATAACACAAAAGGCAAAATGTTCAAAAGCTCCTAAGTCCCATTTTTAGAAGAGTCTTAGGCTCCTAAGTCTCACTGAAAGTCAATGGGAGTTAGGCTCCTATGTCTAAGTCATTTTTCTACATCACTTAAGTGTTTTTTGAAAATGTGACCTCCTGGGCATGGCTCACTTCCACCCCCAAAGTGATCTAGTTCTGGCTCAGTGGGATGGCACTAGTACTGCTGTGTCCATGGGGCAGCAGCAATAGCGCTGGCTTACTCACGCTGCTCCACTGCCTCCCCCCGTTCTGTTCATTCTCCATGCCCGTTCAGTTTTTGGCTTTTGTTGAAATTGCCAACAAGGGCACCAGTTAGGGTGGTGGTTTGTATGAGGAAGGCAGCTGTGTTCTGGGGAAATGGACTGAGACCACAGATTTAATTCACATAGGCCACCACAGAGAAATAATCTTCATTTGAAGCTGAACTTGGCTGCAGTGGCTACAGGTATTAAAACATGAAAGGCTCCTTTTCCCCTTGCAAGTTCCCCAAGCCACTCAGTTCCCCTCAATTCCGCTTCTTCACTAATCTTCCCTTACTGGCTGCATATTTGAGTTTAAAATTATGTTGGCTTTAAAAGGCAGCATGGGCTGGAGGAATGAACACAGCATTGGGAGTGAGGAGCCTAATTCTGGCTCTGCTCTGGACTTTCTACATAGTTTTTGGCAAATCATGTCACCCCTACCTCAGTTTCCCCATCAGTAAAATGATGATGCTAGCACCTAGAGCACTGCATAAATGTTACTGACTATTAAAACATGTCTCCCAGTTTTCCTCAGAGAATTAAATGTGTTACAAATAACAGTAGTGTGCAGTATTCCCAGTTGCTTGCACAGGAAAAGTGCCAGAAAAAGGTTTCATTTGTTTGGTTCATTTTTCAGTTTGTGCATGAAAATATTTCAGTTTTTACCCCAGTGACTTTAACCTCTGTTAGTTACTGCATCTAACAACAACCTGACTCTTTATTTCCTGACTCAGTTTCTCATGGTGAGTGACACGCTCTTCCTACGGAGCTAGTGAACATTGGCAGGTGTAATTAATTTTTAATATTAAAATAGAGATAGGTTCTCACTTGAGAGTTATTTCTAGTTTCTTTAGTGTACAGGGTGAAGCTGATGTTCATACTCTCTGGAGAGTCGGGTAAACCTGCCAGAAATCTCCCTGGTATTCCAGCCCATGGCGGTTTATCTGAAAAGCAGCCAAGTCGTCGGTAGCAAACTTTTTCGCCTGCAGCATACAAAGCAAATCATTAGTATTTTGGAATCCATTACAGTTAGATGGTGCATTGGAAGTGGCAACAACTTTAAAAGAAGCAGACACTGGGCTTTGGTTTTATGATTAATTTTGAAGTCCAAATTCTTTCTGTCTGTATTAGCTAATGCAGATAATAGAGAATAGATGTTAGTGGCTCATCAAACGTAATGAAAGACCAGGATACTCTTGTGGAACTTTTTTCATTAGGGTTGTAGAATCCTCATACAAAAGTAAAAAAAAAAAACCAAACAGATTTAAAAAAAAATGTGTGCTGGTGTCACTACTGCCAGCTCCTGACTCAAAAGCAGCAAGTGTATATGTCACAGTTCCCAGGTTAATCGCATCTCTCACCCTCCCTGGTCTTCGTGAGGTCACCCCACTTAAGTCTCAGGCTCTAGCCATCGCCTTTATTGGATTGGGATCCTGTGATCTACTCCCTCTGGACCAGGAAAGTAGCCTGCAGACTCCTGCAGTTCTGTGTGATCACCTCAGCAGAACTGCCTTCCCATCAGCACCTGTTCTCTCAGGTGCAATGCCAGGGTGAGCAGCCAGCTCTCATGGAGCACATTACTGTTTCTTCAGAGCAAAAGCATTTAAGAGAAAACATAAAAACAATAAACAGCTTCTACGCATGCCTCGCTTACCAGCTGTCACCCATCTTCCACATAGAGACCCTGATAAGACTAAAGTACTTGGGGCCCTTTTACAGCACCTGTCTCTCGTGGTCGCAGTCTCATGGCAGTTCTTGGACTGACTGTGAGTGACCTTCCCCTCTGATCAGGGCTGTCACTTGATACAGTTTCAAGTCCTTTGTATTAGGCTTCTTGAACCAGGTCGAACTAGCCTATGTTATTTCTCCAGGGCCAAAACTTCAAAAGTCTGGTTACTTGCATTTTTTCAGCATTGGGAATTGCATTAATTACTCCCTACTGAGTTTAGCTTCTGCAGGATGCACCTTTTAGCTCACCTGTTGAGTCACCCCAGCTAGCCATCCCATGAAGATACATGCAACATTTATAAAGTTGATACAATATCAAGCAATTATAATCTTTGAATATTCCCTGTTTCTAAAGTATGGCATCTCTCTCAGTATATGTCTAGGAGTCAGGGCCGGTGGAAGGATGTTTTGCGCCCTAGGCGAAACTTCCACCTTGTGCCTCCCGCCACGGCAGCTCCCCAGCCCCCACCCTGAGGCACCCCCCTGCACCAGCTCACCCCTGCCCCACCTCCTTCCCGAGCACGCCGTGGCTGCTTCACTTCTCCCGCCTCCCAGGCTTGCGGCGCCAATCAGCTTAGGCGCTGCAAGCCTGGGAGGCGGGAGAACTGAAGCAGCAACGGCGTGCTCAGGGAGGAGGCAGGGCAGGGGTGAGCTGGGGCAGGGAGTTCCCCTGCGTGCCGCCCCCCTCCCCCCGCCGCTGCAGGCGGCCCTACCCGCACTCCACTGCCCCAGCTCCCTCCGCCTAAATGCCGGCAGCGGCGAAGATCTGGCCGCCGCGGTCGCTGCCGAAGAAAATGGCACCCCCCAAATCCTAGTGCCCTAGGCGACCGCCTAGGTTGCCTAAATGGTTGCACTGGCCCTGCTAGGAGTGGAGATTCCCTCCTCTCCCCCCCATAAGAGTTCTGAAGGAATTTATCACAAAATCCTGAGCACTTATTTCCTTTGACTTTTCTGTTCATCTCAAACAGTGTTCATCCCATTGAACACTCCTTCTACTGCGCTGCTCCTGGGAAACTGTGCTCACGTGTAAAAGAAGTATGTCCATAGGACTTTGCAGAATCAGGGTCTAAAGGTGAACACAGGGTCTGTGCATTGCTTGAGCTCTTATAATAGAACGTAAGTGGTGCACAGGCCTTTTGCTAGTTCTCGGCACCAAGTGAACTGCATCATAAATCACATAGAATAAAGTGAGTGCAGAGGAAAACGAATTTCCATTGTACTTACATTCATTTTTTATTTCATTTGAACACGACTAAATTCAACATGTTTGGTGCAGTTATTTATAAATATTGTATCTCACCTGCTGTTGGGTCCAGCAGATAAAGTGCAGCAAGCCAAATTCCAATCATCTAAAATAAATGAAATATACACGTGAAGTCCAGGTAATGCATTTTATTTGGATACTAATTGATTTAGATTTATTCATCTTGTAAAAAGTGTACAACCATATTTTCCCAGCGACCAATATAGCACTCAATCTAGCATCAACTTTCTATGCGTTCATTACTTATGTCCTGCAAAGTAAAGGTAGCATGTTCTTAAATTTGCGCTTTAATCTACTCCTGTTTCAAAGCAGGGTAGATCAAAATGCAATACAGAACATTTAGGGCATGGCTAGGATGACCAGGTAGCAAATGTGAAAAATCGGGACTGGGGGTGGGGGGTAATAGGTGCCTATATAAGAAAAAGACCCCCAAATCGGCACTGTCCCTATAAAATCGGGACATCTGGTCACCTTAGGCATGGCAGCAAAAGCCACATGGACACTCAGAGCATGGCAAGCTAGTGCAGGGTAGATTTAACCCCCAGCTTGCTGCAACCTAAGTGCTCATGTAGCCAGGCATTAGTGTGAAGTGCTGTTTTCTTGATGTTCCTCATCAGCAGATGCCCCTTTTTAGTTCACCAGTTATTTTCTCTGCTTTCTGCAATGTCATTTCTTGCTAGGTTAAAAATTCCAACTTATGTCTTACACTTAGCCTGATCGTGCATTCTAGGCATGCCCCAAACCTCCCATTACCTTCCCTGGAGAATTTTGTGTGTGCGAGGAATGCAGGCTCTAGCTTGTTGAGGGAATAAATTCTGCCTCAGGTAGATCTTGGAAATTTTCTGACAAAACAGCGTTTGAGCTCTGCCCCTCCTTGTGATTCTGCTTTCATCTCTATTCCCACTCCCAAGGCACTATACAAGCCCTACTCCCTTTATCTCCTCTGATAGTGTGCCACAAACTTAGCACCCTCCCAGTTGCATTCTTCTAACAATCCTCCAGTTTGCCTTTCAAATCTCTCTTCAAATCCTCTTCCCCTCTCCCCTGCATACGAGGCGTTTGGAAGCCCCAGGCTCAGCTCCTGACTCCATGCCAGGGAGCCTGGAAGCCCTGAGAACCCAGGTTTGAGCCAGGCCTCTAGGGGCTTCCAGGGTCCCAAGTCAGCTGGCTCCCAGGCTGCCCAACTTCCGCAGCCTGATGAGCCAGTTGCCCCAAGAGTCAGGAAGCCTAGGGAGCAGCAGGGGTCCCTGGCCTGGGCAGTCGAGATACCCAGGCTGCCCCAGAGCTGCAGACCCTGGAAACTCTGTCAGCTGCTGAGTGAAAATGACACAAACTGAGAAGATTCATCTGCTGCCAATCACTGAATAGCAGCATTGAAATCAGCAGCTGCTGAGTCCAGGGAGCATTTTTCATTTTTAAAACAACTTGTTTTGGCCAATTCTAATTTGAAGGATTCTGATTATTCCATCATCTCCGAGGAGCTGGGTAAAGTCTGGAGGGGAACAAAGGACAGTGACATGCAAAACTTATTAGAGGGTCACACACTTTGTTTCTTCTGTAGGCTGAACGCAGTGCTCACACCAGGGACTCCTAGTGTTATTTACCCCATCACATCACTCAAGAAGCAGGGGTCACCCAATAGGCAGCAGGTTTAAAACAAACCTTGGGGAGTACTTCTTCACACAACACACAGTCAAACTGTGGAAGTTGTTGCCAGGGGATGTTGTGAAGTACAAAAGTATAACTGGGTTCAAAAAAGAATTAGGTAAGTTCATGGAGGACAGGTCCATCAATGGCTATTAGCCAAGATGCTCAGGGATGCAACTTTATGCTCTGGGTGTTCCAAAACCTCTGGCTGCCAGGTGCTGGGACTGGATGACAGGAATGGATCACTCAATAATTGCCTTGTTCTTGTCATTGGCCATTGTCAGAAGAGAAGATCCTGGAGTAGATGGCCCATTGGTTTGACCCAGTGTGGCCATTTTTATGTTCTTTGCAGTCTTCCATTCCCCTACAAGCTCCCCATGTGGCCTCCCAACCTCCTCTGTTTCAAGAACTCTCTGCAGCCCCCACCCCTTTCTTCATGCCAGATTTACCTCAATATGCTTTAGGAATAATACACAGGACCAAATCCTCAGTTGGTGTATATCTGCTAAGCAACATGACCTTTGGAGCTACAACAATTTATACCAGCTGAGGGTATGCCTAAGGATATGATATAAACAATTGCAAGCTTCTTTCTTTGGCCTTCTACTTCAGTCCCACCCCCCCTCCAGTCCACATGGAATAGCTACTGGAGAACAGCAATGCCGGTGAATTTCCCTGTGTAGGCTGCCCTAAAAGTAGCAGTAAACACAAATCCTCTCCTGCCAGTTCTGTCACATCACACCCCTCTCAAATGCATATGCAGTCTGACCCGGTCCCATATGTATTTTAATCTCCGTACTTCATCAGAACCTTGCTCAATTCTGCCCATTTATAATTCTGCTATCATCTCTTCCTTTATTCACACTCATGAGGCACTGCACAAGCCAAATCCCTTTATCTCCTCTTACACTGTGCCTCAAACTTAAAACACCCTCCCAGTTGCAATCTTCTAAGCATTCTCCCTTTTGTCTTTAAACCTCTTTTTATATCCTCTCTGCACTTCACCCCCCACGGTTTTGCCTTCCATTTACTTAATAAGTGAAGTGCAACAGGGGTATCCACTCTTGCACTGCAGTTATTATTTAAATGCCATGCAAAATGGAGAGGAAGGAAGGTTTTAGGTGTAGTGCACCTCTCTTTCTCATTTGTATAATGGGTTTAATAGTGTTGTCAGGATAAATGCATAAAAGATTGTGAGGTGCTCGGATACTGCAGTAATGGGGGCCGTATAAGTACATAAGAGACATAGAACTACCTCTTTCCCTTGCTATATTGTTGTTCCACCCTTTGGCTGCTGTCCTGGAATGGTTTATACCAGCAGCTGTTGTGCTGTTTTCTGCTCTTTCTGCATAGATCATATTATAAATTCTCCAAAGCAGAAAAGACGTCTCTTTAAAGTGCTCATTCACCAGATCAGTACAATATGTCTAAGTGTTCACCTGTTGTCTTTTATACTTCAGTTTAGGGCCAAGGATCAGATTCATTAGAAGGAAAGAGGTAAATAAAAACATGCCAGATTATTACAGTTAATGTCTTTGCAAACTCAAAACAAAATCCTTGATAATGGAAATACCCAACAGTACAAAGTTCTCTGCATACCACATGTCCCCCCTTACCTGTGTGAACATCCAGTTTGCCTCTAGAAAATGACTACTTGGAAACACACCGGCCCACTCCTTAAAAGGAATCCGAGAGTAGCCTCTTCTGTAGGCACATCCACCCTCTGTAGCTCAGATTGGAGATGACACAGAAGGATCCCAGTTAGCTGCCCAGGCTCTTCCAGACACGGAAAACTAGTGCATAGAGAATTGCATGGTTTGCTGGTGACGTGAAGAGTGAAGTAATCTGTACAGGAAGTGTACATCTCCAAATCTCCCAGCTCCAAATGCTGCTTACTCCTCCCATGTGTTTGTACAGTACTTAGCACGGTGATCCCTAATTGCTATTAGGATAACTGCAATGTAAAATATAACAGAGAAGGGAGCATCTTGACCTTGGCCAATCTCCTCTTCCTGTCTACGCACTAGGAGTTGTATGGGGAAATTCTCCAGGAGGCAACTGACTTTAAATAAAGGCTCAGAATGACACAGATTTAAAATTAGGCAAACCAGCCCTCCAGTGGAGCAGAGTGCTTTGGAACGTCTTTCAGACTCTCCTCCTCCAAATCAGCTGACAGAGCAAAAGCAATAATTAGGTCAGGGAAGAGCGTTCCTACACATCACTTTGTCTGGCATAGGTAAGAAGGGAGGTTTTCAAATATCTGCCGATCTCCTAAATTATGTCGGAGTCTCTGGATTGAAACAGTGACCCAGAATAGTTGCTAGGGGATGTTTTTTCTGAGGTGTTTGATGTGGGTGATGAGGGTACAAAGTGTACAGACATTTGCTCACTGTTGGAGACCATGTACCAGGGGTTGGGATTTCAAGATATTAATGTTCTAGCCCGATGAAGAACCAAATGCAATTAATATGATGGTAACGTAGGACAGAGGAAAAGGAGATATTAATCCACAGACACTTGCTTGGGCATGGATCACAGTCGAATAAACTCAGATAATGTAGTGATGAAAAAAATCCATTCAATTATCCAATTTTTCATCTTGCCAATGTAAGATTGTTCCATTCAGCATTTTGTCTAGTCTAGTTTAATGTCCTAAGTAAGGAGGATTCCACCACTTCCTTGCACTGGGATTCATGGATTTTTAAGGCCGAAAAGGTCCATTATGATAATCTGTTGTTGACATCTGCATAGCTCAGGCCATAGAAGAGTTTGGGAGATGTTTGTGCTACCTATGGATTCTTCCACTAGTTTATAGTCATTGACTAAGATTTCTTGCCTCTTCTTTCATTCTAGGGGCTCTTTTTCTCCTTTCTTCTTGGTCAGTAGTTAGGTTACTGTTAATCTCTGTCCTATTCTCAGTCTGCTTGTCAACTAGCCATCCTCAAATGCAGGATACCTTTTGCTGGCAACCAGCCTGAATGTCTCCATAGATGATTGCGTAATAGAATTTTTTCTAGTTGCCACATTCTTCCATTAAGTATCTCCATAACAATCCCATCCATTCTTTAGCTGTGTGATGCCTCTGACAGTACTTTACTTCGTGCTTTATCTAATTTTGCTTCCTCAGTGACTTCAAATATTACTCATTCGCTAGAGCTGAGTGTGAAATGGTTCTCCCATACAACAACATTTTTTGAGATTTCAAATATGTTCCTGTTTTGTACTAGGATGAAACTAAGACCTTCTGACATTTTTCACAAAGAGAGAGACAGACACAGACCCACCCCAGAATAGCTAGTAGCATGATGCTCCAAATCAGACAACGCCAGGACTTAAACAGGGCTCTCCCAGATCCCAGGCCTCACATCTTGCTCCAATGACTAGGCTGGTGGCAGTGAATCTTTCTTAGTATCTCCTGTTGGAGCTATTCCACTTTGTATAAATAATTAGTTATTGGCTAGAGTACAAGCAAGACTGAATATAGCACAGTGGTTTAGTCACTGATGTGGGAAACCAGGGTTCAAGTCCTCGCCCTAGAGCAGGGATTTGAACCTATGTCTCCCATGTGCCAGGTGATGTGCTAACCAGGAGTCAGATGGTCAGAGGCACACACTTTAATCCTAGACCTGAGAAACCTTTCTGATGAAAATATTGTTGACTGTGACCCTTTCCCAAGTAAAGCTTTGGTTTTGACAAATTGGTTATTTTCTGATGAAAACCTGTTTTATCAAAAAATTCCCAACCAGTTCTACTTGTGCCCCTATATATTTGACTCTGGAAAGGATACAGATTACGCTTCCTGCAGATATAGCTTTTCTGGTCTTCTTTCAAATTGAGACAACACCCTCCCCTCCCCCCGAATCCCAGTTACGTTACATTCTCTCTCCAAAGGAGTCTCATCACTTGTTGGGATATGTCAGTGTTTCGACACGGCAACCTCTTCCTTTCAGAGCTTCGACGGGTAGCCCTCAGAACTCGTTTGTTTGCTTCTCACATGTTGGCTGAGTCACTCTACTGTCCCTGTCTCAGATACACCCCTTAGTTAGCAGTAATGGATTTCACTGGCCCCTACATGGAAACAATCAAACCCAGCACACTACCCTTCTTATTTTTAGTCACTTACCACTCTAAATCCAGCATGTGCGGTTGCTTTGTAATCTCTGTTCAGATCACTCCTTCTGGAACACTGGTTCCTGCTCTCTTTCCTCAGACGTCTCATCTCCTTGGGTGTGGACCCACCCATAAAGTGCCTAATTATGTATTTAGTGCGGGGGAGTGTGAACCTTTGTGATGATCATATAATGAGAGTATCCTTGTTCCACCCTTTCCTGTCTTGTCTTTTCTTACCATCTCCTGGTTATCTAGCTTACACCTATTAACATTTTACCATTGACCTAATTAAAAGCAGGGTCAGGCCTTTTACTCCTCTGGGTAGGGACTGTGACTTTATTTCTGTAGAGTGCTGTGCAAACTATGATGTTATTTACATAGTCATAAACTGCCTTGTGGGAGTTGGGAGCAAGCCGCTGCCACTTCTATTCAGTGACCATTTCCATATTTAGGACCTGATACTGCTTCCACTAAAGTTAGGGCCCTACCAAATTCACAGTCCATTTTGGTCAAATTCACGGTCAGAGTATTTTAACAATCATAAATTTCATGATTTCAGCTATTTAAATCTGAAATGTCATGGTGTTGTAATTGTAGGGGGCCTGACACAAAAAGGAATTGTGGGGGGGTCGCAAGGTTATTGTAGGGGGGGTTGCAGTACAGCTACCCTTACTTCTGCGCTGCTGCTGGTGGGGCACTGCCTGCAGAGCTGGGCTCCCGGCGAACAGCCACCGCTCTGCGGCTGCCTAGCTCTGAAGGCAGCGCAGAAGTAAGGATGGCAATATTGCAACCACCCTAAAATAACCTTGTGACCCCCCCGCAACTCCCTTTTGGGTCAGGACCCTCAATTTGAGAAATGCTGGTCTCCCACGTGAAATCTGTATAGTATTGGGTAAAAGCACACAAAAGACTAGATTTCACAGGAGGAGACAAGATTTCATGGTCCGTGACACATTTTTCTTGGCTGGGAATTTGGTAGGGCCCTAACTAAAGTCAATGGCAAAACTTCAGTGGGGGTAGAATAGGGCCTGTTAGTAATGAATGGTCAATACTCCAGTAACTGGGCATTGATCTGAAAATAGAAATGAAGCACTATTTACAGGCCTCACATCTTGCCAGGTTGGTATTGGTGTCTGGTAAGGAAGGGATTAGATCCTGGTAACGTTAGGTAAGACATTGAAGGAGGAAGGGTTTTGTGCCAGATTTTTTAAAATGAGGTCACCTGCCAACATTTTTGAAAGTGACCGGTCATTTTGGGTGCTTTTATTTACAGTGCTCAATTTGAGACGCCGTAAAGGATCCTGATTTTCAGAAAGTGCTGGGCACATGCCCTCTGAAATCAGGCCCCTTTACGATGTCTTAAATTAAGAATCCCAAATCATTGGATATTCTTGAAATTTTGTTTGCTACCTGCAGAGTGTGTGTATTCTCTCTCATCACAGAGCACGCTACAGGGGTATAGTTACAAATTAACTGAAACAGCAACTTCACCACAGTAAGAAACAAGAGGAGGGTTTCAGGGTTCTGCTATAACTGAGAGCAAATTTGGTCAAATGAATCCAACTGAGGGTTTGTTTTCACCAGATCTAAATTTCTGGAAGGGCCATATATGGAAAAGCCTATTTGACGTGATCACATGCATTTTAAGCTTTGAAATGGAATTTTGCTGTTGGTGTGTCAGAGGAGAACCCAAAGTGGGTATATTTAATAAATACAGCCTAGGATAACTGGGATGGGTCAATAAACTAATGGCTTTGTTCTCTAGGCCAAACTGCAGAATTTTTGTGAAGTCTGTGTTAGGAAGGAGCTTGGACAACAGGATCTAGATTTCAATTAGTCTTGACCTGTTTTTATGGATCAGGAAGATTACTTTAGAGGAAGGGGCTGGATTTTGCAGAAGTAGCCCTGATGGCTTGAATTAACTGGAGGCAAAAGCAATGGGTTTGCCGTCATGTATCCGTTAAGGGTTACCCAGCAGCAGTTAGGTAAATATTTATTAACTCCCAGTTAATACACACCATCTGCTGAGTAAACAGTTCAAAGACCAGCAGGGGTAGGTGATAGCATGAATTAACGTTTCAGGGGGATATTTGGGATCTGGAGATCCATGAGAATGGTGTTATGGTGAGCAAATAAAGGTGAGAGTAAGGGAAAGAATTTCATAGCTGGGGATGCAAGTGAACAGGGAGGAAGAACATGGAGTCAATCCTTCTGGTGAAGAGTGATGGTGGGGAAAGTCCTTTTATCCTGGATGTCTTAATTCCTGGTAATGCTGAGATTGTAAACCTGGTTTAGGCTTAAAGACTTTTTTATGTGATGGGAGCAACAGAACTGAAAGGATCATATAGAGAGAGGCATTGTCTTGGAGATCGAGGCAGATTAACATCTTCACCGAGAATGTTGTAGATATATGAGCAGCCTTCAGACCAGATCCTGGACTGTCCTAGTGTAAAACAGCTAACAGAGTGAGAGGGTGACTTGCATGAACGTAAACACTAGATTGTTACACAATGCCTCTGCTTCCTGTATTGTAAGATGACTGATTCTCTCACCCCAACCATTCTTGCACTAGCTGGAATGAGGGAGGTGTGTTTCCTGCACTGCAGGAAATGTAGGTGTGTGTTGTTTGGAGAGAAGATCATCATCATCATCCTTTAGCAGGAGTTTTGAGAAATCT